TAATTGAATCGTGGTGGAGTCAAAAGTATAGCACAAAATTGTTCAGCCTGGGCAGCCAATCAGTGAGCGGTGCAGAGGCTAGTTGTGCACTTTGACTGCTCTCCTCTTGAGGACCACATTGCCCCCCCCCCCTCCCGCCCCCAAAGGCATCGTACACAGGAACAACTGGGTAAGATGTAATTCATTTTGTAGGCAAACATCTATGGCTACATCCACCTGTACGATGCATTGCGACTCTATGCGATTGCTGTTCGCACAGCGATGAATCGAACAGGAAATCCGGACATCTATCAGGATGGACGATACATATGGAATCAGATGAGGCGTATCACCTTCCCAGGTAAGACATATTGAAGACAAAAGAGGATTGGAGAATTTCGAAGTACTAAGTTGTTTGTCCCGAAGACTGACTACTGGCTTTCAGGTCTTGTCTCGGCTGCCGGTGTAAGTTCTGGGACCGTCATGATGGACGATATTGCTGAACGTGCACCAATTTACGCAGGTGAGCCTTAGAAGGTTTCAATAGTTCTGACTTCGCCGCTGCGCTACAGATAGTTTGACGAGTTGCTCTGAGCGAGGACCTGCTCGTCAAGAGCTGGATACCTACAGTCCACTCTAGAGGACCTCTCCACAACGCCAACCCTCTCAATCACGATTTCCTTGTTGGTGCTTCTTTCCCCCCCCGGGATTCTCTAACCGTTTGGTCAACGATGAGTGTGTCCTCAATACATATACCGCGAAACTGCCAAAACGGTGCTGATACTGAACTGGTAAACTGAATAATGTTATATTTCAGCTTTCCACGTGCCGGCTAACAGCGATACCGTAAGAAAGGTAAACGAGATTGAACCAAAGTTAATCAGTAACTGTGATGGCCTGAAAACGAAGACTGGCTGTTTCGACTTGGTGAGTTCGAAGCTCTTCGATGCCACTATCGATGGATGAATATTAGTTCTCTTGCAGCAAATCACAGACGTAATGACGGGATTCTGGCCCTCACCGGATGGTGAAATGCCAAAAGAGGAACCCGCATGTGGCTTCCGTAACGAGCGTTGCGACTACACAATGATCATCATTGCCGGTGTATTATTGACAGTACTGATCCTCAGCATTGTGATCGCTCTTATCATGGTGCGAGTGTGGTAGGTCCTGCTATACTTACTGTAGATAGTACCTCTCTGTAATAACTCTGCCTTGTTTTCATTCTTTTCCGCGATCCAGGACAATGAGTTATTTGTGCTAGAAATCCATACGATTCTGTTCACGGGAGATA